GATACATATGCATTCGCCTGAAGAGTTCAAATATAGTGAAAACTCCCAAAGGGAAGAGTAATTAACTCAACTCAATGAAATCATCAACTGCACTGCATCAAGCGCCACCTGGTGTACAAGCTCGTTAGCTCACTCTTATATTTGTGTGCCAAATGTTTTGTTCTACTTATACTAATGTCTTATACACAAGAATATAATTCTCTTTATGAGTTTTTACTTTTTGTTTCAATTTTTGAAGTTTATGAGAATCTTGAATTAAATAAAAAATATGAAATAAAATCTTAATACAATATTTTTGAAGGCCGACTGACAAATTGCTGGAATTACATTTGGCGAGGAGCAGAGTTTATTATGATCTTAGGAGACTTATAGAAAAATATTTAAATTGGTTGCTTTTATGAAATTTAGAAACGAATTCTAAAAGCAGACAAACGTAAAAGACATTCAAAATGTTGAAAAACAAGCGAAATGTTGAGAGGATAGAAGCACACACACACCACATAAATATAGTTGAAAGAGAGTGGGGAAAAAACGAATTCAGTTTTTATACGAAATGTTGTTTGGCATGGGCCTGCTTTAAATTGATTTATGTAAATTGCCAAATACTTTATCTGCACTAAATATAGAAAGCGAAATGTAGATGTAGTTTTGGACTATAATATATATATGGTATAGATATATGTCTGTCTCTGTGGTATGCAATGGGTACTTACTCCGGTTCCGGTTGTCCATCGGCCTCGCACTCAATAATGAATGGCTTGTCGCTCTCTTTGTTCTGTTGCGCCACCTTGAAAAGCAGCTCATCTGTGGGAGGCTGTTTGATGATCCGCGGCGGGGAATTGTCTGAAAAGAATGACAAAATCAGAAAAAGAAGAAGATTAAGAAGAGGCAGTGGCACACTCAACTAGGGGGAAGGCAGACTTCACTAATTTGGCACATAAATTAGGGCGTAAATCTCACTCTCTGGCGCGCTCTATTTCTAGTCGCTTTAGTCTACTTAAAAAGTTGTTTTCCACATTTATTTATAACGAACGCTGTCGCAGTCGGTGGCTATTTTTATGGCTAAATATTGGTCTAGTGGGAGAGTGGCTCAGGTGGGCTTTAACACAATTCTTTGTCAATTTCATCTACCCCCGAAAAGAGTATATAAATATTCATACATTTTCAACTTCTACTAAATATAGGTCGATTATAGGAAATACCGAGTGGAAGGAAGATGGAAATATTTGGAGTTAAATTAAAGAGGTTTATAGATCAGACAGATTGAATTGAGAAGAATGTGGAAGAGGACAGATTTTGTAAAAGGTAGAACGGGGCTTAAAGAATATAAGAAATATATATACACAAAGTTTGGAGATTGTTTGATATAAGAAAAAGCTTAGAAAGTTACTGGAAAATAGCTTAAGAAGAAATGATAAAGCTTTCAGGACAACTAGCTAATATCTTTTAAACTTTCTAAAGAAGTTTGCATATTTTGTGTAAGATAATTAGGTAAAGCTCTCTATAAATGGACTAAAGAAAAGACTAATTCGTTTTCATAAAAAAGTTTTAAGAGAATGTTTTCATAAGCATAACGCTTAGAGCTTATTTAATATAAGAAAATCTATACAAAGTTGATGGAATGATACAAAAAGCATAAATGATAAAGCTTTCAGGATAATTAGCTTCTTGAATCATAAAAGAATACATTATACTCAAGGCCCCTATAATAAAAGCCTCAAAAATAATTACAGAAGATAATAATAGCCTTTCAGAAGCTCTAAAGCACGTTATTTGTATATTAATTTTTGAAAGCTTATCAATGCAAATATATTTTTAATATAAATTATATTAAAATAGGCAAAAATGCAATTGCAGAAGACATTTAAGCCTTCGGATGCTTTAAAGCTTGTCTTTTTTTATTTAACATTTAAAAGCTTTCCTATGCAAGAAAATATTTAATAGTGAGTCTTTAAGCTAGGCTAAAAGTATCTGCCTGTAAAGTATGTCCTTTAGATATGAATCAAATTTGGTAAGAGAATAGCTGGAAAATTTTTGATTTTTTTTTTTAAGTTTCGATCGATCTGCGATCGCTAAGATCACAATTGTTTCAGCGAAAGCCGAACACGAACTGCTACGAATTCAATTGCTTTCTTTAGAGATTAGATGGAGATTACACAGTTGGTGGACGTGGATATCTGATTGGGATTTAGATTTTCGGAATTGAAATGGGAATGGGAATTGTAATTGAAATTGGACTTTCGACTTACTCATTGCCGTTGAGCTGCCCAAAATGGCAGCCAGTAATATCGCGGCCAGCATCGTTGACTGCCGCCGCATTTTAGTTGTTGTTCAACTGTGCTGCAATTGTTGTTGTTGTTGCTATTGTTGTGGATTCACACACACACTCGAACACCCACACTGTCGGTGCCCCGTTCGGCGAAACCTGGGATCTACAACTATCAGCGCAATTGTATTGTCAATTTCGTCGTGTTGCAATTGTGCTGTGTCTGGAATGTTTTCTTTTTCTTTTTCTTCTTCTATTTATTTATATATTTATTTTCGCTTTTGTTTTGTTGTTTTCTCGCTTCTCTCTTTCTTTCTTAGGTTCTCACAATTTTCTCACTAATGAAAATTGCATCCAAGTGAGCGTTTTCCTTTTCCATGCACTATTGTTGCAAAGTAGCAGAAAAAGAAGAAGAAGAGGAGGAACACATTAAGCTACTTTTCACACTTAAATGGCAAACGTTTCGTTTGTCTAATAACTTTTATAATAGATATATGGCTGGCGGTTGTAAAAGTTTATAACTCTTTATTGTTATCATTATTGTTTTTGTGTGTGTTCTGCAAATAGAAAAAGAAATATGTTATTACGCTTATAATTTTGTTTTTTTTTTTTATTTTAATTTAAAACTAAACACATTGCCTGCAATGCAATTTATAATACAACAGATTGCCTTTTATTTACAAATTCTCTTTTTTTTATGAAATTTTCGAAATTCGATATAAAAAATAAAAATAAATAGATGACGACTTTTGTTTAGAATAAAATGCAAAGAGAATTATGAAATAGTAATGTTAGTTTCGCTGCGAAATTATTTGTTTTTGACTACTTTAAAGAGTAGCATTGAAAATTGGCTGTTCATAGAAATAGTAGTGCTGGGTGTAGGGAGTTGAAAAAAAAAATAGTAAATAAAAAAATCTATACAAAAATAAATGTGGAATGAAAAGGAAAATATATTTGATTTGCAATCAAATACAAAATATATAATATAAATAAATATATATATATATATATCATATATTTTATACAGAAAAGAAATTTCATTCCCAACAATTTTAATTTTTAAAATTTTAATTAATTTTAATTTAATAAATGTTATTTCTTAACAAAGGCATTTTTTTATAAAAAAAAGCATTTCTGAAAATTGCCTTCGAACGGCAACAGCTGCATAATACTCGCTCAACGGTGCAAAATATTTAAATATATTCAAAAATAAATACTTTCGAATATGCCACGCCCCACTAAGCGAAGCAAATTATTTTTAGATATATGCGTGGAGCAGCAATATTTTCCAATTTCTGGTTTTTCTGGGCTCAAGAGGCGTAAAACTGTGAAAGAATATTTTTTTATTTTTTGTATATTTTTTATTTAAGCAAATCTCGAGTCCTCATTCATTTAGTTTGCTTTTAATCTTGTAGTTATTTTACACCGTTTTACGTTAGGTTCAATTCGAAATCTGATTCCCTTGAATGTTCGCTTAACTATATCTAGGTGATTCGTGTAAACGCTTGATTAGCTTGCGGTCACACAGTGGCAGTGAGAGTCGAAAATTTTAGAATCACGCAGTGCGCTTAGCCAAAGGCAAACCGATAAATGTGAACGACAAGCGACGACCGTCAGAGGCCGAACTTAAAAATCGATAATTGCATTTATTACTTTTGTGGGTGCTGTGAAAAAAACAACAAAGTCACCGAGAAACCGACAAATTGACAGCTACGCTGTCATCGGAAGTGGTCAACGACTGACGAGCCACAGCACCAGAGACAGAGAGAAGAAAACAGAAAAACGATTTTTATAAATAAGTAAAACTGCTCGAGTCGATGATGCTCGGGAAGCTGTTACCCTGTAGATGTCAGCGAAAGCGTTTCTGATACAAATTAATATGTTTTTTGCTTACGTTTTGTAGTAAAAATCGATATTTATCTATATTGTGAGAAGTTAAAAACCTCATTTAGAGACGTTTTAAAGTGTTTTTGTGGCAGTCAATATGCATCGATATTATGAAATGGTTGAGATTCGCTTAGCAAAAATCGATATTTATCGATACTACAAAAAATTAAAAAAAAAAACTCATTTAAAGACGATTTTAAGTGTTTTTATAGAATGTATCGATAGTTAACGATATGATATGATTTTATGAAAGTAACAAGGCACGTTTAGAGTCATTTAACAAAAATCGATACATTTTTTTTTAGTATTATGAAAGTGTAAAATGACTCCTTCACAGAAGTTTGGTCTAAATCGATTTTGTGGAAATTTATCGATGTTAAAAAACTCATTCAAAGTAGTTTTTAAACTGTCTCTATAGTAACAATCGATATTTATCGCAGACTAATTGATTTTTTAATTGAAAAAGCATTAATAATCAGTCGGCTATAGCCGATTTTCAACTCTGACACTGGGTAGGCAAAAAGTGTCAATGAATCAATTGCAAAATGCGCACAAATACACTAAAAATAGTTTGGGGCTGATGATGTGGGCGCTGTTGGCTGTGCTGGGCGTCGTCGTCGTCATAGACCTAATTCCCAAATGTCATTCAATGGAAAATGTGCCAGGCGAGAATGCAACGACAAGAGCTGCGACGGAGACAGAGGAGACTTGAGAGAGGCCCAGCGACAGAGGCAGACAGGGCCAATACGAGACGAGGGCAAGTTAGCATTGGAATGCCAGAAAGCAAGGGTTAGAAACGAACGCTAATTCAATTAGCATTAGACGGACGAATCTTCTCCAGTACCGAGCTGTCTGTGAACGCCAACAACGTGCTGCATATCAAACTGGTAAAAATGCTACACTGCAACGGACGTTGATTGCTAATATCGCAATAGCCAAACATCACACCTGCACTGCATCAATGAGCCATCGACAGTATCAGCAGGAGCCCCATCAACAGACACCGGAACGGAACGGTCACAGTCATCAGGGCATTATGGATATACGCAATCTTTGCCAGCGCCTGGATGTCGATCATCTGAAAGGTTTGCATCTAATGAGTATTTCCACTGAGATTCACAGGAAAGAACCAGCTCATATGGCCAACGCTAATTGCTAGTGTTAAACAGCATTTAACTTTGGACTATTTGTACTTTCACTAGCTGCTACAACGAACTGGTTTACATCATGTTTGCTGCTATCATAACAAGTGTTAAGGAGTCTTTAGCTGTGACAGACTTCAGGTTTGCTGCTGAAGTGAATTAGTTCACATAAGCATTGCAAGTGTTGTGGAGTTTTCAGCAGCGAACTAGTTCACAAGATGTTTACCACTATCACAATAAGTGTTAAGAAGTATTCAGCTTCAGAAGAGTGCAGTTCAGTGCAAAAGTGAGCTAGTTCACATGGCGTTTGGAGTTTGGAGACTTGAGTTACTTGACAAACTGCTTAAATGAACTAGTTCACATGATGTTGACCACTATCAAAAGAACTAGTTCATTTTGGTTAGAAAGTTTGGAAGTTTAAAGTGTTTTTCAACCTCACTAAATGAGCTAGTTCATATTTTATTGTTCCCTAAAAGCATAATGAAACACGGTAATTTTTCACAAATTGTAGAAAGCAAAAGCAAATGGAAAGTAAAATTCTTAACATTTCTTAGGCAGAACTAGTTCAGAAATACAGTCAATAACAAAAAGATCCTGCAGTATATAGGGGTAAATATATAAAGAGAATGGAGAATGCCTCTTTGATCTAGTAACCTACAGTTGTTATATGGTTTGACCTTAGATACTTGCACAACAAAACGTATAATTCGGAATCAATGTGGATCTATTAAGTTCATTTGAGACAGACGATATCTATATTGTTCTGAAGCATAGCTCGAAAACGAGAACAAGTATTTATTCGATTTTCGTAAAGAAATTAGCTGCTGTGAGAGTATCTTATAGTCGGATATCCCCAGTAGTTTTTTAATTTTTAAATTATATAAATTTGTTGGCAACTATTTTCCACATGAGCCAGTTGAACTAGCTCAAACGACAAGTGATGATCGAAGCAAATGAAAATTGTTTTGTTTCTCAATCTTTCTCTCAGCCAAGCTGACAGCGCTGCCACAGTTGAAGCTGCCGAAATCGTTGCCCAAGCTGCGCGCTGCACGTCGCATCTTTCGCAGCTCGCGCGGCAATGGCAGCGGCAAAGAGGCGCCAGCTGCAGGTGCAGCTGCAGAGCTGCAATCCGAGGCGTCGGGCCTGGCGCAGGCACAGTTCATCAATCGGACGCCACAGCGCATATCGACAATTAGCTCGCTGATGCATGAGCAGGCGGCGCCGCAGCATCTGCAACCGAATGCTGGCAGCACCTACCGCAGCGCTGGCAGCCTGGACGATGACTATTATGCGCCATATGGCACAGCAGCACGTGCGTCACGTCCAATTAGTCCCGTCAAAATGCCACCAACATTGGCCCTTGGCGACGCAGCGATGGCGATGGCAATGCCGACGCCGACGCCGGCGCAGACGCAGACGACGACACTGCGTAACGGCAGCAGCCTGACGCAGCGCCTACAACGGGGCTACAAGAGCCTCAGCAAGCTGCGGCTGAAGCATCTGTTCGCCAAGCAGACAGTCATACGGCGGGATGGCATCGAGGTCGATCGCTACGTGGAGCAATACGAGGCGGAACGACGCGTCGAACAGCAGGCGCAGGCGCGTCGAGATCGGCAAATAGCCGACAACTATGATATACACATCAGCACGCTGCCCATAACCAGGGAGAATACACTGAGGGCGCAGCAGCAGTTGGAGGAGCAGGCGCTGCCACAGCATCGACGCAGCGTGGCCGAGTATAGCGGCGATGAGAGTGGCATGGAGGAGGCAATGCCACAGCAACAGCTGCCGCCGGTGCCGCGCAAGAAGCCAGGCATTGCTGCAACCAGATTTTCTAGAGTCCGTCAGCCGCCGCTGCCGATGCCCGTCGAGGCGCACGCCGAGGAGCAGCAGCAAAGGCCAAAAGAGCCGCAGCCCGTGCGCCAGGCAGTTCGCCAAAATTTGAAGCGTCTGCGCAAGTCCATCAAGCGCGTGCATCAGCCAGCCGCCAGGCCAGGCCAGGCTGATGACACCGATGACGACGAGGAGCCACAGCAGCAGCAGCAGCAGCAGCGTCAGCCTCAGCCCAAGACGCGAGCCAGCACGGGCGGCACATTGCGCGCGCGTCTGCGTCGCTTTGCGTCCAGCGAGCAGCTGCAGCAGCGCTGGCGCCGCAGCTTCAAGAGCAACAGCGAAAGCCAGGATCAGTCGGCACAGCCGTCAGGTGGTGCGGCAGCAAGTGGCGCCGCCTTTGGCTTCGGCATGGGCGCCCACTTGGAGCGTACGATGACCAAGCTCAACGAGAAGATGCAGCAGCTGAAGTTTTTTCAGCGCTCCGGCGCTGACAAAGCAGCGACAGCGGAGGCGGGCAACAAGCCGAATACCGTTGGCCGCGAGCCCGTTGAGGTCGATGACGAGGAACTGGAGGCGACCTATCATCACAGCGATAGCAGCGACAGCGAGGACAGCGGCCAGGATGTGTGCGCCGATGAGGCATACGGTCAAATGGAATTGGAGCCAGAGCGGGCATCGTCGCCTGCCTTGGTCAAGCGGCAGACCTTGGCCTCGCTGGCCCAGCTGCATGCGAGCGCCTCGACAGCCTGGAGCAGCGAATCGCTGGAGGAGGATGCAACCGTGGAACAGCAGATGGCTGCCGCTGCTTCCGACTATCCGCGCGTGCTCATCCATCAGCAGCATACGGATGCCTACGAGTCCACGCTCATTTTGGCTGTGGCCGCAACGCCACCGCCAAAGCCTTCGCCAGTTGTGGAGAAGCATCAATGGGTGTCCAATCAGCAGATCATAGCCGACTTCAAGGCCAGCGTTTGGCCAGCGCCCGCCCTGTACAAGCCCAAGAGCATTGACATCTTTGAGGGCGATGGCGGCGCCGCTGCTGCCTTTGCAGATTTCGATGAGGCGCTGCGCAACGCGCCAGTGCTGCGAATCAGCGCCGACAGCAGCTGCGACAGCGGCGAGGATGCGGACGACAGCAGCTCGCGTGTGACCAAGATACGACTACAGACGCCGCAGATTGGCAACAGCTGTGAAAGTCTCATGGAGCAGCAGCCGCTCGAGGACGAAGAGGAAGTGGAAGATAAAAATCAAACCGCTGATGCGGAGGCGGATGTGGATGCGGATGCGGATGTGGATGCGGATATGGATATGGATGTTGATCTTGATGACCAGGAGGCGCGCATGGCGGAACGCCCACCATCCGAATCGCCGCCACCGCCGCCTTTGCCGCAGCGTCGACCACCGCCACCCAGTACTGTGGCGCCCATATATGATGCAGTGCCGCCGCCGCTGCCCATAAGCAAGCCACCACCCATACAAGCAGCATCAGCAACGCCGGCACCAGTGGCAGCTGCACCGCTAGTCGTTGCTGCCGCAGCCAGCAGTGTGGCAAGCCTGCCGCAACGCAGCACGTCCATGACGCGTCCATCCAAGCCGCTGGTTAAGACCAGCTCGCTGCGTCTCACCTACAACGAGCAAATGCATCCCTCCGATTTCGGCAAAGTGAACAAGCTCATCTCACGCTTTGAGGGCAGGCCGCGCCTGTGCGCCAGGCGACTGCACAGCGAGGAGCTGACCACATGCAGCGATGCGGATGATGAGCCAGAGCCAGAGCCGGAGCCGGCCAAACAGGAGCAGCAGCAAACGCCAACAAACGCCAAACAAAGTGCTATACCCAATATTGTGACAACTCAACCAAACCACTCCAACAACAACAACAACAACAACGTTAGCAGCTCAGCTCAAGATCAGGCTGAGCTGCAGCTCAGCTTGGATCGCCAAAATTCGAACTGCAGTCGCAGCGAATACGGCTCTCCGCTGGCATATCCATTGAGCAACAGTCGGCGCCGCAGCTCAACGCCCACCATCGCCAGCACGCTGAATGCCCCGGCTCTGGCGCCGCAATCGCAGCTGCAGTCGCAGCGTGCGCAGGCGCGCCGCAGCCGACGCTCGATGACACGCGACGATGACAACTTTTACAGCTTCGACAGCGATGAAGGTGCGTCAAAATTCTCCCAAATTCAAATCAAACCCAAATTACAAATTCTGATCTAATGCGCATTAATTTCCTTGCAGAGAACAGTTACTACTCGATAAGTCCGTCTAGCAGCAGTCGCTATGTGGTGGAAATTTGAATCGAAGAGCCCTAAAAATACCCGAGAATTGCCCTAAAAATACCAAAGAAATACCGAACAAATATCGACATCGAAACTTAAGCTCTTAAATAGGCCATAAAAACTCTTTTTTTTTTAAGTAAGATTATAATTTAAGAATTGTGCTTAAAGGTATATAAATCTATAAAAAAAATAAATATTTTATCTATTTAAAAACATTTTTTTTTCTTTGAAAACTCCAAATCAAATTTATGTTATACAAATTTGAAGAGCTGAAAAAACATGTTTTTGCTCCAGAAAATACATAAAAAAATTTTATTTTCATTTTTATAAAAATAACATAACTGTTTACTCAGACAACAATAATTTGCGCTGCTTTTAAACAATTTTGAAAATAAATATTTTTTCTTTTTCAATATTAAAAAAATATTTGATTTTAATTAAGTATGAAAAGAACATTAAATATTTTTTTTATATTTTTTAAATATATATTTTTTAAAATTTGTAAATATATAAATATTTTATTAATTTAAAAAAATTTTAATTTGAATTAATTTTTAAAATTTTTTTATTTATTTGATTTTTGATATATTTTTATATTTATATTATATATTTATATTATATATTTATATTATATATTTATATTATATATTTATATTATATATTTATATTATATACTTATATTATATATTTCTGTTCATATTTTTTATTTCACTTTATCTTAATATTTTCCAAAAAATATTTAGAAACAATTAATTTCGAGAAAAACAGCGCGTCAATCTATAAAAGTTTACTGTTAATTTCTATGCTATAAAATTGGGATTATGTTGGATTTCTGTTTAGTGTTCATAAATTGGAATTTTATTGTTTTCTTTTTCAACAGTAGTAAAACGAAGGTGAACTCAGAGAACTGCTTATAGCAAGCCATTTCGAGCAGGCAGACAGCAGACAACATTGTCAGATCGCACGCTACTTGATTAATGAGACACCTTAATGGGGGTAGTTTGAGGGGCGCACACGCCAGCTGACACTTTCGCCCGTTCGGGGGTTGCAGGCGATCGGGCGATCGTACGGGTCAGGGTGGCGCAGCCCTAGCAGTGCAGGCACCCTTAAGCCCCGGACCTGCCAGAGTCTGCCCGGCTAACTTTGAGCGCTTCGATGGTTTTTAATTAAAAATTTATGCTAATTATTTAATTAAAGCCATTCGCTGCCGCCGTCATGGCTGGCAATCTGATTAGATCAGAGGGTAGATCGGCTGCCACCAACTCGAAAACGGGGCTGAAACTTGCCCGACTTTCTTGACGAGTTGCAAAAATAACTGTTATTTAGCATATGCATTCGAAGCATAAAGATAAACATTAAATTTATAAGCTGGCGCAGCAATCGAGTCCTCATCTGCAAACTATAATATATACAGCTCAAATTTGTTGCATAGTGTATGTCCTCTGTGTGTGTGTGACGTTTGCCGCATTCCCAATGGCCTCTAATTGCATTTTTTGAATGTCCTTGACTCGTTACCAGCAAAGTATCCTTGCGCCCTGCCTTGAAAAGGCTTAGTGAAATATTCAGTTTGCTCTCTGCTCTGCCCCTTTCCCTCCCTCGCACGCCTCTGCTTCATTAGACAAGTGCAGCTGACCTGCTGACTGCGCTCATCAGGCTGCCTCTTGTGGCACTGCATCGACATTGCGCATACGCCGCGTATGACTAATTCAGTGCTAAGCAATTGTGAGTGAATCTCACGAACGTGCCTAATTAAAAATAAACGAAAAGATATGCTCTATAATTTCTCAACTGGCCCGCATTCGAGCGCATTAAAGGCCAATCAATTTTGTAAATGAAGTCAGCACAATGAACGAGCGCCCGGATAGGAGGGAGCACACGTTGCATCTTTGACCAGCAGCTTCGCAGCCACACATCATCAGGCAGCATCATTGACATCTGAGCAATTAATTAGAAAAGCTGTTTATCAAACAGCAACTGCAACACTAGAACCGTAGGGTTGTTCGGCTAGACCCTAAGCCCGAGCAGATGCTGATGGACCTGAGGTTCAAGCAAAATGGAGCAAAGGGCTCACAGTTGCAGCCAGATTCACAGACGCATTCATGTCTAGCCGAAAAAACAAATATGAGAAACAGCAGCAGCAGCAGCAGCAGCTCAACACAGGACGTAGCACAATAACGAAAATGTCACGAAAACTGCCATGAATCAGTCCATATGAATGTGCACCCTAATACACACACACACACATACATCTGTGCACACACATACATGTGTAACTGTATTCCATTATATCCTGTGTTCAACCCTCAGCTGCACAGTTATTTGACACGCGACTGGCTACGGCATACGAGGCACTGGGACTTGGGAACCCGGAAACTGGCAACGGGCAACGGACAACGGGTCGGTTATCGGAGTTACACCTACCCCCTCGTTGCCGTCATGATATTCCCTCTGTGGCTCGTGCCGCCTCCCAGCTCACTGCTCCCTCCTCTCTTGGGCCTGGCCACAAGTCTGGCCATCTAATCAAACTGCAATGCACAAATATTTAACCACCACCAGACCCAGCACAGCCACCGCCAACGTTCTCGGGTCTCTCGTTTATGGTCGGTGGCTTTTTGGGTTTTCAATTCATTTTTCCGTTTGCTTCTTCTTCTTTTTTTCGTGTGTGGTCATCAACAAAATGAAATAATGAAATGAATCACTGTTCGAAGGCAATTTCGTTATGAGTGCTCGACGAGCAGCGTGACCTAAGGCCCTCCCCATACTACGCATGCCACCCAACTAGATCAGGCCATCGATTGCAATTCATCATGCAAGAATATAATCATCTGTTATTGAGAGCGCGATCAAGTGATATGAATATATTTATATATATGTATATATATTAGAAAATTTATAGAAAATCTATTTTAAAAATTAAAGCAAGGCAAAAGATTAAATATTTTCAATACAAGATTTACTAAATATTTTTTTAAATTATAAATTTTAATTTTTGAAAATAAATAAAGTATTATTGTTGAAAAAATATGCAGGAAAATAAATATAAAATTAAAATATATATAATAAAAATATATATAATGAAAATATATAAAATTAAAATATATATAATAAAAATATATATAATGAAAATATATATTGTATATATAAAATTCAGACACAATAAACAGATTTAAGCTCTAAATATTTATATAACTTAATGCTTTATTTAAATACGTATTTATTATATATAATATTATCTATATAAGATTAAATATATTATATATATTTTTTATTATTATGCAGCAGTTGGAAACATGTTTAAAAGTTGAAAATATATTTTTTTTTATTTTATTTTCAATAAATTTTGATATATTTTAAAAACTTTTAACTTTATTTTTATTTTTTATCATAATTATTTTATTAATTCATTTTATACCAATTTTGTAATTTTGCAAAATTGAAATATATATTATATATACATATTTGCTTTAAAATTCTACTACATTTCCGATCAATCGCAAACTTCAATTAATAATCTACATTTTAACATAAATTTTTAAGAACTTTTGGAAATTCTTATAAAATTATTGTAAATAGTAAAAATTTATATTTTATTCCAAAAAACGTCTTATATCTGAAGAGCATGCTAGATCATAATCGGATTTCAGCTAGGAAGGACTCTTAAGGTGCAGATCGAATTGAATAGAAATAAATTTTATTGCCATTGAAAGTTCTCTTTTCAAATTGAATAAGCGAAAATATTGAAATGGCAATTGTAACTCTATGAAATGCTTTTGTAAAGAACAAAATCCATAGAAAATGCCAATCGACAATACAATTAAATGGCATTGCATTCCACACGAAGAGGCATCAATGACTATTGTGACAGCAACAGACGCACATATATCTCGCATATGCAAATGAAAACAATAATAAATATGTACATATACATATATATAAAGGGAGACACATATAGATATGTTAGTGTACATTAGTCTGAACTAAATTCGCCAAATGCTGGCAAACACCTAGCCATGGGCTGGCTGTTGGCCTGCTGGGCGGCTTGTCGGAATTGGCTGGTTGGGTTTCCGGACCGCAGCAAAGGTTCAATGCACTGGCAACTGGCAACTGGCAACGATAATGCAATTTATGAAACGGCGACAAATGCCCGTGGAAAGTGCAGACACAGCGTAGCTGCTGCTGCTGCTGCTGCTGATGATGATGATGACAAACATGATTATGATGATGCTGCTGCCTGTTTCGCTTGCTAATGATGATGCTCAGATTGCCATCGACAGCGGCAGCTGTGCTACGTATCGCATTTAATAGGCAATGAAGCAAAAAGCCCACAAAACGGAAGCTTGAGGTTAAAACTAACAGCGAAGCGATGCAACAACAACAACAACAACAAATATAAAATAAATATATCAAATCAGAGAGTTTTGTGCCCGACCATAAGTTAGCCTGTAGACAGTAGAGCTTATAGTTGATAATAATAGAGTGAATAAGATAAACTTAAGCTGCAAGTGAGCTGCTATATATTGGCAATAAATACATAGATTTAGCTATATATATATATATATAGATATATATAGCTAAGTCTATGTATTTATTGCCAATATATGGCAACTGGCATACCCCTTTGAAATCACATTTAATGGGTACAACGTCTATCGACAGCGTCTTCAAGAACGGAATTCCAGCTCAAAGTCAAGTCATTCATATATATATATATATACATATATATATATATATATATATATATATATATATATACTATATACATATATATACAGTATATAAATATATACATTTCTACAATTAATTTTGGGGGCCACGAATATCAACAAGGTCGCAGATGTAACGGTTTATTGCAATCAGAACTTCGTTTATTCATATATCCAGGGACGGGCACATCGGAGGAAGGCATTGAAAAAGTAGGCTAATCGTGTATTGTTTATAATACTAGAGTATCTAAATACCCTATATGCGGGCTGCTTTAATACAAAATTGAATACAAAATTTGTTATCGTTTTTTTTTAATCGATATCAATTCAACTTGATTCAGAGATCGATGACTAAATCGACTTGATTGATTTGATTACGAATATATAACTATATATATATATATA